TTTGTATAAATATAATTATATATATATATATATATATATATATATATATATATATATATATATATATATATATATATATATATATATATATATATATATATATATATGTATATATATATATATATATATATATATATATATATATGTATATATATATATATATATATATATATATATATATATATATATATATATATATATATATATATATATATATATATATATATATATATATATATATATGAACTTCAGCACTGGAGTTTGAAACATGGCTGTACCAGACAATGTGTAAACGACTTATTAAATATTTTGATAAGAAATGGTCACAAGGAATTGCCAAAAGATGCAAGATCACTTTTATTTACTCCAAGGGTTGTTTATATTTTATATTATTGGAAGAAAAGGAAATAGAAAGTTTACAAGCACTGTTCTTTATAAATGCATAAAAGGTGAGTATTGAATACGAGTTTGACGCTATTGCATCTTATATAAGTCTGAAATATTTTCGTTAACAGTATATAGCAGAACGTGAGTACATTGCAATAGTACATTGCTCATTTTCTGCTTGTATAAATATATTTGCTTTTCATTTTAATTTAGTTTTTTTTTATGTAAAACCTTCGACAACTGATAAATATAATAAAATAACTTTGACAAATATTTTAGTATAAATTTTTATTGTGGAAGTTTTTTAGTTTTTGGCTTAAAGTAAAGTAAATTTCTATACTTTATTTTTGAAATGAAATGTTTTGATTTTTCTAAAACATGCCCTATGATTGACAAACAATTTTTTGATAAATATTATTTCTTTAGAATCCATTGTTGTTGACAAAATTGGTTATGATACAAGCAACATCGAGGGTGCCGTTGTCGACAATGAAACGAACCAAAAAATAAAATTTTTGCAATATTGTATTTATATATTTATATAGTCAAAAATATTATTCTTTTTATTTTTTGTAATGATTTGTGTCAATACTGGGATTTAATTATTTATGCAATAACCAAGTTATTATCCTTGCGAGGTTTGGCACATGTGTGGAACTCCTAAATACGTGTATGTTAAATTTAGGCCCTGTGGGAAAAATAAAGACTTCATGTCTTATATCAAAAGACTCCATTTTTTATAGTTGTTAGAGTCGGTATGAGAATGAGCTAAATAAAATTAAACGTTAAATGAACGGACAAATTTTCATTTAAACGTCCGTAATACGTCCAAAATACGTCTATTGAGGACCTCCGAACAGGCTGTTTTGGACGTCCTTGGACGTCTTTTTGCGGTCCGAAATGGACGAACGAAAGTTGTTTCATTTGGTACGTTCAATGGACGTCCATTTTGGACGTCCGAACGTACCGTTTTGGACGTCCTTGGACGTCCTATGGAATATGAAAGGTGAACTTTAGTCAATTAAACACAATGTACGTATAGCATGGCTGATTTTGTGTCATTTACAGTAACAAATTAATAATAAGAATACTATGATATAAGGAATAATTATGGAAGAAAATCAAAATAAAATTTAAAAAGAGGATAGTAAAGTTTTAATTCATGATGTGAGGTGTATGTGCATAAGCATATGTTTGTTACTGTTGTAAGTACTTTTTTTTGTAATTTTTGTTAGGTAAATAAATTTACCTCTGTTATATATGGTTGTCACGAAGATAGTCGTTGCTCCGCAGTCCACGCGGATATAAATACTTTTTGTAAATGCAATGCATTTTAGTGAAGCTGCACCGAGCAGTGAACGCCTTAGGGATGAATAATAAATTAAAAAGAGTTTAGCAGAGTGAGATAAAAGTACAAAAGGACAGATGTCCAGTAGAAAACACAGAGACTCAAGGTGGAAAAATATTAAAAACTGATATAAGTAAAGTGTAGTAAAAAGTAAAAAAGAATAATAAACAACAGTCAAGGAAAGTCATTAGTTGTTGTGCTACTAAATTGTTGTTAGAGTCCAACGTAAATGTGATTTGTAGATAGAATTGGTAATGGAGTAGAATTATTCGTTTTATAAGTAGTCACCATGTGGTATGTATTAATAGGATGATAAACATACATTATAGATATAAGTGTCATAAACGTCTCGAATACAGTATGGATTCGTGCCCTATGGTGCAGTGTGAACACATGAAGACCTCCAGCTTTCATCCGAGACTGGTATCCCAAAAGAAATTCCACTCTGGGTCTACACCAGGTTGTCTTTTTTAAGGTATCTCATTGTGTTATCCCAAAAGGACTATTCTCAGAGTATCCAGTCAGGACAATTGCCACAAACTCCTGAATTGACACTGGGACCAGAGGACACTTAGTGGGGTTTAGTACAACTAGCAAACAGTAGTAAGTAGTTTTTTGACATGAGTGTCTATTAAGTGCAGTGTTTTGTCAGAGTCAATGAGAGTTGTGAACTGTTTTGAGTTCGTCTAACTATGTGTGTAATGTAAGTAGTCAATGTAGTGTACGTGTGTTTGATTACTTTTGTAGCATGTCTAGATAGTGAGAGTTATCAGTATAAAAATAGTTGAAAGTCTTTTAAGTTAGTGTTACAAAAGGTAGATGTGAGTACTATAAGTCTAATGAACGTGTATCATTAAAAAATAGCATAAAAAATAAAAACTATTACATCTTGATAAACTAGAAATGATTAACAGAGCTATATCAATAGAGCAACAATGGCTAGTATATGTGTATTGCAACTAATAATCTGTATATATATTTTACAATTCATAGTCTAAAATTATATAGAAATCATGTAGTCTAACAGTTTATTGTAAGTGTTACATAAGTGTGATTTGTATTTTGTATAAGCGACAAGTTTAACTGTACATGAGACGTGACTGTAATGTATTCTGTATTAATAAATTTTCTGTTTCGCAAATTTGAAAAACTTTCAAAATTTTTTTTTAGACTCCGAATATTTACATAGATGACATTAAAGTAATCACTATTTTGTTCCATATTAAAATAATATGGAACAAAATACTTATTTTATTTGGATAAAAATAAAAGCGTTGAAACTCAGGCGTATTAATTTCGTCAAAATAATTCATATCTGGGTCAGATTCATCGTCTAAGTTAAAATAATTACTTTGAAAAAATTTAAAAGTTTTTTAAAAATTATTGTTAATAAATTTAGCCATTTTCGTTTTATTTTTGGGAGAAAAAAAAAAGATAAGTAGAATATTCTTTTAGGAATTGGTGATTACTTTATTGTAAACCTGTGGTACAAGTTTCTCGGGCTCCGGCGAAGAGTTGCTTACGAATATTTATAGTTCTTTCGCTGAAATCTTCGTTAATGTAGCCATACCGTTCCAGAATTTCGTTTTTTTGTATTTTTCTAGAACTAGTTTGCGGTCCTTGAAGTTTAGAAATTTTACCACAATAGTTCTTCTCCTCGCAATACCTTTCCCGTTATCTTTTCTCCCTGAACGATGTGCTCTTTCGATATACACTTCCTGCTTAATATCAAGTTTTTCTTTCACAATTTTTTTTATTAATTTCTCGCTCTTTACCCATGTCTCACCTTCAATATCATCATCCCCTCAAATCTTAAATTATTACGACGACTCCTATCTTTTAGTTCAGCTAATTTGTCCTTTAAAATTTCATTTTCTTCATTTGACCTATTTAATGATTTTGGATTATTTTTAGTTGTTTTGATAGATTCACTAAGTGTTTCGTATTGATGGTTTAAATATTCAATGGCTTTGTTTGATTCATTAAGTTCTTTTTTCAAGTCCTTGTTTTCTTCTTTCATATTGATCAAATCATTTTCCAGTTTTTGAATACGGTCATTGAAGATTTTGATTATGATATTATCGTGCATTTCAAGTAGTTCTTTTACTTGAGATAAAGAATATTTACTTGTCATTTTAATAAATTTAGTAAGTCAATCGATTTCAACTAAATTTATTAAAATGACAAGTAAATATTCTTTATTCAATTTATTTGCGACACTATTCCTTTTTTATTACGACATTAGACCTTTTTAATTTATTCGACACTATTCTGAGGTTCATTTTTTAACACTATTCCTGTCACCCATGAAAATTAACATTTCAAAAAAAGCTCCCTACTAATAGGTCACTACTTAAAATCCCATACCTATAGTATTTATCTTTCAAAACTAAACGCAAGAGTAATTATCAAATCTGCAAATTGCAAAATTGCAAACAAGATTTAGGTGTTCACGTAAACTCAAGTTTATTTTTGATGAAAAAAAAAGTTTAAGAGGGAAAGTTAAGAATCGTCTTAAAAATAAGTGGTATCTTTAAGACTGATTCGCATTTCTTTTTCTTTTCCTTTTGTTTTTAATTTATTTAAAATCTAGAGTTACATTATGTCAAATGATTTTATACAATTTATTTATTATTGTTATTATTATTATTATTATTATTATTATTATTATTATTATTATTATTATTGTTATTATTATTATTATTATTAATAGATTTCCAATAAAGGTAAGCAACACATGGTAGGTGTTCCTGACTGGTTGAGATGTGGTCAAAGAACTAGGGAAAAGTCAGAAAATATTTTAAACAAATAGGTGAAATAAATTTTAGGTCCATACATGTTTTCGAAACCACGTTCATTTATGTTGCCTATGCATTTGTTAGTTTCAAAAAAAAATCATCATTTTTTTTAACTTATATTAATGTCAAAATTAACTTTTAGTTGATTAATTCTTTACCTTTTTGTATTTTTCATTACAAAAATGCAGTGAAGAAGTAAACAAATAATTTAAATAACTAAAAAAGAGTTTTAACTTATTTATCTTTATGTTTGACTACCGACTGTAACAAATAGTAAGAGTAATTGGGAAATGTTTTGATTCTATTTCGTTTACTAAAATGTATTTATTTAAAAAATCATGTTTGCATTGCTAACTATTATGGTATTTTATTTAAGAAAATAAATTAACCAATACATTGTGGTAAAATACCTTTTATTGATTCTTACTCCGCTCATATAAGCTAATGAAATTAATTAAACTTGCAAGCAAATTGCAAAAATGTGGGTTCTCAATTTTTTATGCTTTAAACATTTAAATATATAACTAAAAAATTTACAGCAATAATTTTTTAAATTATTGAATATGTAACTATTATTATGCTGCAAACAAAATATATTAATTTGTTAAAAAAAATAATTTCAGGCTTCGTCGCCTGTATACTCGCTTAAATATTCTTGATGCTTTAAGTTAATTGTATCCATCATGTGATTGAGGTCATCATACTGCTGTTCATAAGACGGAGACATTGCCAAATCATCTATATTTTTTAATTGCAATTGTAAGCTTGAAAGGCTTGGCCTAGTTTCTGAATTAGCTTCATTCATGTCAATCCCTGTAAATGATTGTAGATCTGACTGCCATGGTTGTAGAGCGTTGTTACTAAAAAGTCTTTGTTCGAGGTCTTGCTCCTGTTGAGAAAACAAACCTCTTTGTAAAAATGAAAGTATTCGTTGATTATTTGTTTCCATGGGATCAAGGGCAGGAACTTGCTGGCAGTTATCTTTATCCCAACATTCCTTTTCTTCAGTTAATGTAAAATTAACTATTGTAGGTATTGTTTCCTCTACCTCTATAGTTTTGATGGATGGTTTAAAACCTTTTTTTGTTACCTTGATGTCGTATTTACCTGGCAACAAGATACGCCAGAAGTCTCCACCTTTTTGTGATTTCATAAATTTCGATCGATCATCTACATGAATTTCAGCACCGTCAACTGGTTGTCCGGCTTCTGTAAGAACAATTCCTTTGATGCCTTTGTGAACCTAAAAGAAAAATGTATAAAAATTGTTAAAATATTTCATTATTTGCAAATAAGGAATTGTCCAACTTATTTTTAAAAAAAGAAGTAGATGATCATTTTCTCTTTTGCGCGGCGGTTTTAATTGAACTTTAAGCGCTTTTTTTATTTTTTTGTTTAATTAAAAACTCTGTGAGGTAAAAGTCTTGATCTTTTTTGTCTATTAGTTAAATTTAGGGTAGTTTAATTTATGAAATCCTGGCTCAAAGTTTTTTTGTTTTTTGTTTTTGCTCGTAATGATACAAAATTAATATTTTAATAACATGTTAATAAAATTTAATTGATAAATTTTATAGACTTGTAAAATCAAAGTATAAATACAAATTAAAATCACTAATAGATTTTGACGATCATATTGCCAGAATCTTTTATCAAAAACGAGCATATGTTAAAATACAAATAAAATTTATTATAACTATAACATAAATCGTATCTTAAAATTTAAATAATTGTAAATTTAGCCACTGTAAAAAATATTCTAAAAATTGGTATATTATATAATTGAGTTATTAAAAATAGTAAACTTTTAATTATTCAGAAAAAAAATAATACAATTTTTTGAATTCAAATTTTGAATTTAAACGAATAATGCTTCAACATATTTAAATTAATAATTTTATTTAAATTTGAAATTAAATTATCTGTAATCTTTGTAAAAATTTTCAGTGGAGGGTGTTCATTTTTTATGTATAAATTTTTAGTTATTTATAATTTATGTATAACTTTAAATTTATAATTTCAGTGCGACCTAAAGGAGGGGGCGAATGGAACAGTTTGTCCCGTTCGCCCCTTCATCTAAAATAAATGGAAATTTTAATAAATAAGGTCGCCATTCAGGGTTGTTGTCCCTGGCGGCGTGACGGCTCTCGACGGCCCTGTATAATTTATATAACTTTTACTATACTTAAACAATTTTTTTTTTTTTTTTTTTTTTTTTTATTGATTTATTTGAGTTTTCATGCTATATTTTTCTATACAATGTTCTTATATCCGAAGATATTGTTGGCTTAGCATAGGAACAGCCACAAATAGTCACAAGACTAATCCAAAGTAGCGTCCGTTATTGACCAATATTTTTGCGTACCGAAGTACTACTCAAGCACTGAGTTGGCGGTGGCGGGATTTGAACTCGTATCGTTCAACAGTCCGGGTTTCAACTTTTCCTTTGACGCTCTAACCATCTGAGCTATCCCGCCACTTTAAAACTATTAAACGAATTTGAGTTTTGGTGTAAAGAAAGTTTTGGAATTGCAGAGCAAAATTCCAAAACTTTTTTTACACCAAAATTTACAGACAGACAGGAGAAAGTTGGCAGAACAATTTTTTGACTACAAATTAAAATTTAAAAATTCAAATATTTTTGATTATCATAAATGAAAAATTTGGTTAATAATAATAATAATAATAATAATAATAATAATAATAATAATAATGATAATAATAATAATACGGGCACGTTGGTGAAGTTTTTCTTTGATGTGTAGTTATTTAGCCTTTTGTGTTTCATTATCCGAAAATAGCAATAACAATAGTTCACAATCGATTTTGAATATATTTATAGCTGTTTTTGCAAGTTCGAGCTGGCTGAGCAAACAAGCTCCGTTATCGAAGTAAGTTGGTCTATGGTTATAAAATGAGTCAAACATAATTTTTTACAAATTTCTTTTTTTCGGATTGTTATACTTTTTTTTTATAATTGAAAATTGCAGCCGTAGTGTAGTGGTTAGAGTTCTGGCTTCAGAAAACAGGCCCGTGGAAAATATAATATAGTAATAAAATACTAGAAAATAATTGTATTTTAAGTTTTACAATAAAAATTTATCAAAAAGATTTGATTTAGAGAAAAAAAAAAGTTAAAATCTTCGCAACATATCGTGTTGGTTAGTTATTCTGCTCTTTTCTGTAATTCTGCAATATAAATTTCTTATGAGGTAGACTTTTAAAATTAAAAAATAAATTAAAATGTGGATTTTACGATTAAAAGTAACTCAGTTGTTCGGAAATACTTTCAACGGGATGAGAAAAGATAGCAATGTGTTGCCAAACTGCATGAATGTTTTAAAAATTGAAGGTAGTTCAAGGTCTTCATAAAAAGGACTTCATATACATATGTTGTCGGTGCACATTATGAAGGTCAAAAGTCCAACCCAACCTTATATTACCAAAGATGGCACATCAAATAAACCACCAAAAAAGAAATCTAAACCACTTACAGAATACTTTTCCATTTATGAATAGGAAGATAAAACTTATACTCGCATAACGGCGTCTGCCGGGCTTTCCTTTAATAAAATTTCTTTCTTCAACAGATTTACTTGCCACTATGGGATTCAGAATTCTACAAACGTCATTAAACACAATTTGTAATCATGTAGTAGAGCACAGCAAAAATATAAGATTAGGTTTAGTTCATCAAAATAAAGCGAGAAAAAAAACGGAATTCGGGGTAGGAGATTTTCTTTGTCTTTTGATAAGTGAACGTCTCTTTGAAATTGTTGCTATTTCAATATTAACGTTCATGGACAAAATTTTCACTTCTGGAGTTTAGGTTTATTGCGAATATCAGGTTTTACGCCAGCAGAAAAGTACATTGAACTATAAGGAAAAAACTTAAAGAAAACAGTCTTGATCTACACAACAACATTGTGGAAATAATGACCACATTATGAAAAAAGTTAGAAGGTTTCTGGCTGCTAATCAACAATTATATTTTGCTTACGGCATACAACTTGCTGTCATTGATGATCTTTATAAAAACATGATGAATAATACACATAACTGTCACATGATAAAGTGACAATATTATCAGAGATTATATCAACTTTATTTGCCATTAAAGCAACGCTTCCAATCCTGTTTTAGTATGAGTTTCAGTTGAGTCTGATAGGGTAAATTTAATTGAGAACTTAAAATGGTACCTGAGTCTGTAAGTAATTATTTACGTATTGAAGAGGAACTTGGTAGTGTTATTAAAGAAGGACAATCACCAATGCAACTAGTTAGACATTGTTTTCAAAAATTCAAAAAGAAATGACGCTACTTGAAAATGGTGGTACACGTGGAAATTATTTAGAAAGAGATTATCCATTTTTAATGACCGTGAAACGGACAAGTGTCGAGGCTGACCGGGCATTTTTTTCCGCTGGGTTGGTCAATAAAAATTTTTTTAACCGTTTGGGCAATGAAACCTTGAACGCATTGTGCTTCCTAAATTAGCATTTCAAAGCACATAAAACATAATGTATTTTCTTATTTTTAACATAATTTCTTAACATTAACTAACATGTTAAATTAACATGTTTTTCTCCCATTCATGCAACAATGCAATGTAAACTGCCTTCATATAACTGCTTCATTTAATTTTTTTTTTTTGGCTAAAAATGTACTGTTTTTATTCTTTTTAATACCATGTAGATGTTATAACTATGACAAGTTGTTAAAGAAATATGCTCCTTAATTTCTAACTGTTCATCAATTATTTGTATAGTTTAAAGATGGTTGTACCAGTTGAGGATACACCACGTTGTACACATCCAACTGTTTTTCAATCATGGGATCAATCCCGGGATTGATGTTTTTCAATCCCACATTCCCGGAATAAAATGAACTTTATGCATCAAAGTTAATTTTATTATTTCATCTCATAGGTAATTTGTTACAAATCAAATGAATATTTAATATTATAATTGTTCAGTGAATTAAGAACATTAAACACGTGATAATTGCATATCAGTTTGAATAAATATTCACTGAATTAGATTTACAGTAAACACATGATCATCCATATTAGTATGAATAAATATTTAGTGAATTAGATTAACAGCAAACACATAATCATTGTACATTAGGGTTATGAATAAATATTTAGTGAATTAAGAATAAACAGCAAGCACATGATTATTGTATATTATGCAGTTTGATAAAATTTCTTTTTTTAAATTATTTAATAAATGTACAAAGTAAAATTCAAAATATAATGCTTGGAGTCAAACTCCAATAATTGAAAACTAACCCAAAAGTAAAAACATAGAAATAATATCTTGATACTTGACTGTAAAACTTGTTATTAGAAGGAATAAATTCTAAAGCGGAAAAATGCTCACATCTTTTCCTTCAGAATTACGGTAATTACGAAAATTAGATCAATTACAGTTAAATAGCAAATTAAGTTTTATTTAATTGGACTTATATATATATATATATTTTCATTTAGTGAATGCAGTGGTAAGAAGTTTATGTTAGGGCTCGTCCATAAATTACGTCACGCTTTAGGGGGGGGGGGGTTGGTAGTTTTGTGACGACTCATACAAAACTTGATTCTTAAGTATTACAATTTTGTTACGAGGGAGGGGGGGAGGTCAAAATTGGTCAAAAATTGCGTGACGTAATTTATGGACGACCCCCCAGTGGAAGATGTTATTGTAAATTGAAAAACTCTTCTTTTTTTTTTTTTCATTTGAAGGTGGAAGACCAATAAAGAAGCCAGAAGGAGGTTTTTTACAGAATATTTAAATATAGATGTAAAATAATAAATAGAAAAATATTTAAAACAAGTCTAATTATATTTGCACAAACCCAATAGTTACAAAAAAAAATAAACAGAAAAAAGTTGGAGCTTATTTAATAGGAATAAAAAGTTTAACCCCAAAATAAAACTAAAAATAAATCATTTAATTTTTTTAAAATTAGACCTTTTAAAATACCTTTACTATACACAGTTACAACACGATTCAATAGTTTAATGTATACAAAATCTCAGCCTTAGGGAGTGAATACTTTATAAAGTTCTTAATTACAAGGAAATATAAAGTTTACCATTGATGAACCAAATACTCAGTTGGAAAACATTTTAAGAAAAATGAAAACTGGTGTTTTTATTATTATTTATTTTAGTACCAAATTAACTTAAACAAAAAACAAATAAAGTAACTAAAGCTAATGTTTAGTATCTTCAACTTTTAAGTC